GAGCTTCATGGGTTTTTAACCCCACAGCTCCACCTGAATAAGTATTCACACTCCTCGTGCCACGCTGGTGTGGTGGTCCCCAGGTTGCCGACGAAGATGGTTGGTCTTCATTGATATCACTTTCTGATTCGCTACCTTCAATGTCACTCTCAGAATTGTCAGTACCACAATCTGAATCGGAGTCATTGATTAGCTGAAATATGTCGGAATCTTCCAGATGAGACGATGCCATGATCGAACTAATCAGCTTGACAGAACACTTCCAGCCACAAACCAAGCACTCAGTGTAAAGAAACTGTATAAAGAAATGTAATCTTAGTGTGCAGCCGAGCTCAATAACACTATGCCGATTTTATTTCATTCGCTCACCCCTCATTCCACAAGAATTACGTCATGGTATGATCACACTTTGAAATTACGCTCGACTGAACGCTTCCAGCCACGAAGCTATTACGGTGTGTGTTCATACAGTAACACGATTTCATAAAACAAAACCTAGCTTTCAACTCTACCAGAACAGTACACGTATTGTTTAGAAGAACTCTATATGCAACAACACGTGACTTTATATCATTCGTCCACCCTCCTACACATTCTAGTAGTAGTACGTCATATAGCCTACGATAAACTCTAGACACAACATCCGCTGTGTGACCGTGACATGCACAAGTCTCGTCATCCAGCACCTTGCATTCAGGGGTATCCAGAACGTATGAATTCTTGCAGAGAAACAAAAAATTGCGAAATTTCTTTTTTGGAGTCAGTGCAAAAATTTTAACATGTTTTATACAATCTGTAAATTACAATATCTGATTCTATATTCTTTCAAGAAAAAAACAGCGTTTATTTCGTTCGTTTATCACAGAAATTGCAGAAATAGGAGCAAATTTAGTAAGTGACTTCAATTTTTACGGATTTCTAATCGCGGGTATTTAAATTTATTCCGTACGGCTGCCTATACCGGAATTTAAATGCCCGTAGGATAAAGGTTAAGAAGATTAGTGAAGTAATGCCATAGTATCTGGACTAATGGAGGAAAGGATATGCATGAACAACTGGAGAACACAGATAATCAAAATTAGCTTCCTTGAACTCAAACTCAAACACATGTTAACAGCATGCTATGATGAGGCTAATATCATACTGTGTTATGTGTGTGTTACGGTACTGTATTGCATCATTCTCAGACTGGGGTCTTTTTTTTTTATTAATTTATTGTAGAGGAGGCTAATGTTTTCTTGTAAATTTTATGAAGATGGGTGATATAAAATGATTATGATGGCCTGCACTTTCATATTTGGGCTAATTGGTGGGAGGGTAAGCATGAATAATAAGAAAACACGTACCCAAAGTTATTTAGTGTTGAACTCAAATTGCATCATAACTAACTCAGGCTACTGTCATGATTATAATTTCACCTACTGTAAGGACATTCATAGCACAACATAGTGTCTGGGTGGGTGATATTGAACCTTGCTGCACCTTTTAACTGCATAACCTAGCAGATTGTAACATCATGAAGGATGATGTTACAAAGGAGGCTGGGAGATGTGAAATAGAAATGAAAAGTGTTATTCGCCTGTATATATATATGATTGTGCCTAGGTTTTATAACTTTCAATAAATATAATGCATAAAGAAATCAAATTGTTCTGTTTTGCTTTGTGTTATATAGCCTTGGCATGGACCATGTATAAAACACTCTTGCCTAGCAATAAACAACTTCTGTTAAACTGTTCCATCATGTCACAATATTGTTGTTCACAATTTTATAATATAATGTAACGTGTTTGGAGTAGATACGTCCATGGCAATGCAATAACAGTGGGCCATTGCATAGACAGTGCCGAGACAACGAACGCGTTCCCCCGGAGATGAATAACAGACGGCCGTTGAGTACCAACGGACGAGACGAAACATGTTACCGCCGTAATCTATAGAAATCGTTCCCGAACAAGTGAGATCGAACCTTGGCGAATGGTGTCCTTTATCTGGTCCGCAGAACACCTACATAAGCCGAGAGCGACAGAGCTACAACAACACAGAATTAATTAGCCTTCATAGACGACAGTCAAGATCTAGCCTTCATACAAGACAGTTGGAACCAAGCCCTCATACAACATAGTTGGAACCTAGTCACCAGAAGCCAAGTGATACCACAGGCGATAATAACTGTAAAGAGTGTAAGAGTGAATGTCCAATAAAGATTCGCTGAATCCGAGACCCACGTGAAGTTATTTGTCGCGTGACTTAACCAACACATGACAATATGATACATTTTACGTATTTTGATAACCATCAACTGCAACATGCAGCGATCAGACATCTTTCAATACTTTAGGTCATCAAGTTAATCATTCTGTTCACATTATGAACACCAAATATAAACTATTAAAGGTAAAGTGTATACTTATGGTTCATGAAAACCATATTTGCTGAAAGACTCAAAATTAAACAAACCTTTAACTTACCACAGATGGTCCTGGACACTCTTTAATGCACTGTCACTTAAAAGTAACATAACTCATGGTGTGACATACTACTGGACTGCAAAACATAAATAAGGATTTTTGTGTAGCATAGAAGTTATTTTTTGCCTTAGTCTCATGTTGTTTCACTTGTTATACATTTTTCAAGCTACTAAGCTTTTGCACTCATGACTTGCTTAAATAGTTCAAGGAACTTTGGGAGGATATTTGGTGACTGTGCTGGGGCCTAGTACCATGGTAGCCTGCTGCATGGGCTGCTGGTTGTATACCAGAAAGGTTATGCCCTATTAGAGTTGTAAGATTTCCTGCCTTTATTTATAAGAGGTTGAATGTTATAAACAACATATGTGTTGTTGAAAAAGTAAAGTAAGTTGAAATTTCTTCTGTCCTCAGGTAAACTGGAATACCAAGCACAATCACCAGATGAAGCAGCACTAGTATCAGCTGCACGAAACTTTGGTTTTGTATTTAAGGAACGTAGTCCCAACAGTATCACAATTGAGGTAAAGTAGCAGTATCTTAAACTTTGATGTGTTTGTGGGAAGCATTGATAAAATTGAGGCGTGTAAGAACAAATGCAGGAAAATGGAGGAGTGGATCCAGGTCTTCTGGTGAAGAGATATTTTGTCAGTCTGACTACAAAAGTTGGATATACCTACAGATGGTTGTGGCAATGATGCCAACTATTTGAATCACAGATACAAGCCCAGAACTACTCATAAACATTCATGGTAGTTAACCCATTGGTATACTATTTAGATACCTTCAAATATGTGTATAAAATCAGTTCTCAGTTCTAAACATAAATGTGTCAATTATCGTAGAACTTCCTTACAGGTCTGCTGCATCCATTGTTGAGTAGTTAACTAATTGTACTTCAATCCAGTGATGTTTCTTAGGCATTAAAGTATGAGGGTAAGTCAATAAGTAAGTTACAAAAGGATATAGAACTTAAACAAGTAAGAGTACTGATTTGAAAAATGCCTTTATTTCTCAACATAATCTTCCTGTACATTGAGCCACTGGTCCCATCATTTCACAAGCCCCTGAAAACCAGCAGTATAAAATTGTTTGGGCTGCTGTCAGAACCAGGCAGTGACTTCCGTTTCTACAGCTTCATCGTCAGAAAAATGTTCAGCCGAAAGATGATGTTTGAGAGGGCCGAACAAATGGAAGTCACTTGGAGCAAGGTCGGTGCTATACAGAGGATGCTTGAGGACTTTTCGCAGCGTCTCATTTGTCTTGTTGGCAGTATGGGGATGCACATTGTCATGCAAGAGCAACACACCTTTGGTGAGGAGTCCTGAACGCTTACATTGAATGGCCTTACGAAGTTGGTTTGTCCTTGAGGCTGGAATGTGGTGAGCAGTATGCCTTCATGATCCCGGTCACTGCCTGGTTCCGACAGCAGCCCAAAGAATTTTATGCTGCTGGTTTTCAGGGGCTTGTGAAATGATGGGACCAGTGCCTCAGTGTACAGGGAGATTATGTTGAGAAATAAAGGCATTTTTCAAATTGGTACTCTTATTTGTTTAAGTTCTCTATCCATTTGTAACTTACTTACTGGCTTACCCACGTAGTTTACACAACTGAAACAGATGAATGTATCACAGCTGTCAAAGTATGCCATTTAATAAAGGAACGTTGGTGCTTTTACTTTTGTCAGAATACAGACATTTATTGGAATAGCCTTTGCTAGGCCTCTGCATTTCTTGACCCCCCCCCCCAACTTAAGACATCCTGCATTGATTGTGATATGCCACGTTGAGATAGGGCTTGGATTCATATCCATGAAATCAGTATACATTACTGTTGCAAAAGTCATTAGGAGACCATGCACTCAAAGAGTTCTTCTGACAGTTCTGGAATATCATGGTCCTGATCAGCAGAGATATAATTGTATGTATATATGTTAATGAAAACTGATGCCGGAAGCAGCATCATCAGCAGCGACTTGAAGCACAGAGCAAATGATGCTCGAGACGCTTCAAGTTCGTATAGCAGAGTGGTTTGAACAGCTGTTGTACTGCGATGTGGAAAGCAAATGGAAATGCTACCACATTATCACTTTTCCTGGATAGTCTCTTTCCAAAAGCAGAGATACCATGTATGCGAAGATAGAGGGGTGGATAGAAGTGACCAGAAGACGAAGAAGACTTAAGATGATGCTGGATGACCTTGGGGACAGAAGAGGATATTCTTATTTGAAGGAGAAAGCTCTAGATCGCATTAAGTGGAGGAACTGTTTTGGAAGAGACTGTGGACCTGTCGTCTGACAGATTAATGATGAATGAATGAATGAATGAAAGTGTTAATGTTGTGCCAGTCTGGGTCTGTTCAGATTTGTTACAGAGACTCAACCACAGTTTTTAATGCTTGCTGTCCACAAAAATACACACCAACAGATTTAGAAAGAGTTAGAACTGTGGTGGCTTCTTCTAATGAAGTTAATGTACTTTTTCTGAATGATATATATTGTATTTTTCCTTTTCTTATAACCAACTTTCAACCCATTTTAAAGGCATTTAGATTATTCATTAATGATATTATTAATATTCACCATGATGTCTTTTGTTATGTGCATACTTTACTCTCCTGTTGACAAGAAAATTATGAGTCAGACTTTTCACTAAGGAAAAAGATTTCAGTCCATATCAAGTCAATAAACTTCTTGATGATTTTCACCCACGTACACAAGAGTTCAACATAGCATATTGAGTTATCCTGTGTCTCCTTACTATACGTTAATGGCTGACAGTGATGTTGACCTTCCCCAAACCACAGACTTCTCTGCAGCTGTTGAAGTCTGCAGATGAAATTATGAGTATGGTCCATTATTCTCTATTTCCTTATAAGTTTACCTTGCTTTGATTTGAATTGTGTATAATTATGGAAGTTGAATATTTGTATTCTCTCAGTGGAACTATACGTGTAGTTATACTCAATCCATTGTGGGAACAAGGGTACATCAACAGTCAGTCAGTGGCGTATATTGTTACATCAACAGAAAGTTCTCTTTTAAACATATGTACTTCAGCTTTCATACACTGGTGGGAAATTCAAACATACTTATAAAGGACTTTTCTTCTATAATGTTGTCTGTAAAGGTATGATGTACGCTGTTTTGTGGAGCAGAGGGACTCTACTTGGCTGATCTCCATGTCCCAGAGAAAGTATAACTCTACAAAAGAATGTTTGGATTATTAAGTAAAGAATCAGTTTTGTTTTTATTGATATAGTCAAAATTATCATTTTGTGCTTCAGTATTGCTATAATTGATTAACATAGGCAGGCAGCACAGTGACTGCATATGCTTAGATAATCCTGAGCTGAGAGTTAAGAAACACTAAGTAGCATTATGAACTAACTGTAATTAAGTTTCAGGTGTACAGATTATGCCACATATCATCAGTGCTGGTCCCCCCCCCCCAATTCAGTATGTGCCAGTATGCATACCACCAAAATAGTTGATGTGTACTGACAAATTCATCAAAAGTTAAACATTTATGTTTTGACCTTGAAGATTGCAGCATATCATTAAGTAATTTTCACTGTATATTGCCTAAGTATTCATGTGTCTTAATGTTTTAATAGGTGATGGGAAAGAGAGAAGTGTATGAGTTATTATGTATTTTGGATTTCAACAACGTACGGAAACGAATGTCAGTTATTCTAAGAAGGAATGGAAAGTTACGACTGTACTGTAAAGGTGCTGATAATGTCATCTATGAACGTCTTAAGGCTGATAGTAGCGAAGTCAAAGCCAAAACTCAGGAACACTTGAACGTAAGTAAACCACATAGCTTTTAGGATAAAAACTGAATGAACACTGGGTTCTTAACTGAGGATTTTGAGTTTTAATTGTTTATTGTTTATTGTTATTAAATAACTCCACAAATCCTGTACAGGGGCTTTAGCACCCATAGGATATAGAGCTCGTCAAACTGATACAATCTCATACAAAACATAAAAAGATACATGGTGTAACATTAAATCAAGCCATATCATAACAACATAGATTCATACACTGTTAGAAATACAACCTTTTACTTCTTANTACTCCAAGTTCATTCGTCACAATCATTAAACATTAATCATAAAACAATATCACATAATACTAAGTAATAAACATAATTAAAATTAAAAAATATAACATACAGTTAATCCCATTTACATCCAATCAGTATTTACAAATTATTTTGATTAAAAAACTCCTCTAATGAATAAAATGACCATGAGCAAAGATATCTCTTTAATGCTGGTTTAAACAATTCAATTTTATATGATAATGATTTTATATTTATAGGAAGATGGTTAAATATCCTCATTCCAATAGCATATGTCCCTTCATTATATATTGTTAATCTAGCAGATGGAAAATGAAGGTCAGTATTGTGCCTAGTATTTAGACCATGAATTTCTTGATTAGTTTTATAAAGATGCTTATTTCTCACAACGAATATCATCAAAGAAAATATATATTGAGAATAAAATGGTAAAATTTCCCAATCTTTAAAAAGTTGTCTACAAGAGTCTCTACATCTAGTCTTAGTCATAATACGGAGTATTCGTTTTTTCATCTTAAAAACACTAAGACTATGTGGTGAATTACCCCATAATAAAATACCATAAGATAATAATGAATGAACATATGCAAAATATATCATTCTTAGAGTATTCTCCATCATAAGGGGCATGACAATCCTGATAGCATAACAAGCGGAACTTAACTTTTTTAAAACATGTTCAATGTGCCCCTTCCATGACAACTTTTCATCAATAATCAATCCCAGAAACTTGATATTAGTAAGATCAGTGATATGCTTATCTGCAAAAGTAATGTTTAACTCAAGCTTCTGACTATTTTTAGTCCGAAATTGTAAAAGATGTGTTTTGTCAAAATTTAAATACATCAAATTACTCCAAATTAATTCCACTTAATCTGTAAAGCCATATCTGTGGAGTACAGGTATTGTTTGTACTCATGCAGTTAATTGTACCTATATTTTCTCAATTTTTTGCAATTTATCACGAGATTCATAGTGTTGAATGAACGTCTTGTATGCAGATAATGAGTGTGACTTGTGGCTAGAGTGATAGGCACAGAAGCAACAACATGATTCTGACTTATTAGTCTTTACCCAGTAATTTTGCCCTTCATGCCACTTAAATACCCCTCAAATCCTGGATAGTTTACTTTTTAAAGAAGGGTTGAAGAGGTTAATTTTGAATTTGATGTAGCTTCTCCCTGCTGTATCCCAGATAAACCAAGCATAGCATGACGTGTAAGGTGTGGAAACAATAATGTTGACTTGATACTATTCTTAAGTGTAGTCATCTGTATAGTTTTACCTAGTGTACAGTAATTAGCTAATATATAGTTCAGAATTTAATCACAGATCATTCTCCTTTTAGTATACACTTGGTTGTCGACTTACGACTGACTTCCGTTCTGACTGACAGGTTGCACGTCGATCTGGTCATATGTCAACCATATATTTATTAACAGTATTTTGTAACCTTTCTAATCTTTTTATCGTCTTTATAATTTATTTTTAAAAAACTTTTACATTTTAATCTTTTATTTTTCATTTTTTATGGTCGTAAGTGCAGCCAGTCATAAGTCGACGAATAAGTGTATATATTTTTGTAACACTGATTTGGAAGTGCAGAGATGAGATTATTTAATAAGTCTAATATTGTTTGTATTTTCAAAATTATTTCACGTAATGAAATTTCAAACTACTTGGTTCTCAGAATTTGGACGTTGTCTGATATTTTAGAAGCTGGGAGACGTTTCAGAAACTGGATCTGTTTCCATCCTCAGGTGGGAAGGGGGAGAGACATACTCTGTTGGGTCCTTCAGAAGGATTTAACCTCATTCACTAGTAGGTGTCTCTGCCCCCTCACCTGAGGACAGAAACACATCCAATTTCTGAAACATTTGTATTTTCAGGGTTCTAGAATACCAGACGATTGACAGGGTCCAAAAACCCAGTAATTCTGAGTGTTATACGCCATTGTTGGAACCCTTTACAATCTTCCCTGAAATTTGTTCAAATAGTTTTTTTCTTTGTTTTCCTGCTTGTTTGCTTGTTCTATCCATTTAAGTATGTTTTACGTTCTTCAGAGTGAAATATGCTCAGAGTAGATCCTAGTGGTGGGGTGGGCTCTTGTTAGCATGATAATGAACCATTCAGATTCAATGAAAAGCAGGAAATTATTTGTGCAGCTGAATAGTCATCAGCTTCCAAAGAAAGTCCATGCTAGTTGACGATAGTGATATATGTAATGTCCATTATAACGTAATATTGTGGCATGTAGACCAGTTGCTGGGCAATGACCGCGAGATAAGAAAATATACAACAGCTGTTACTGAGTAACAGCTTCGCAAACGAGCATGTTTCCACAGCAACAGAGGGACTGTTTTTTCTGTGCAGAGGATGTTACATAAGGACTGTTACCGCAAGAGTTCAGTTGGAAAGAAAAATCTCTGGTCGAGGGCCTGAAGTGGCCTGATGCCAAAACGAACTTAGTGGTGGTAAACCACCAGTCATGAAGTAACTCTTGACACTGAGTCAGTCAGTTGAGAGTTGCTGTAGCTGAGGCCAGGGACAGTCTGGGAACCCAGAGTAAGGGGAATGTCTGCTGTTGGAAACCACTAATGAGCAACAACTAGGGAAGACTGAAAAGACTTTGTGTGCTGTAATTGCAGTGATCTTTGGATTGTGTAACTCAGTGACACTGCCATGGTTATTTGTAATTATGTTTTGTAAGTGCTCAATAAATCCAATTACCAATCCAAACTCTGTCTTTAGTCACTCTAAAATCGTTACAATATTATAAATTTGTTTATATGCGGTAGCTGAGGCAGTTATATGCTGGCTTCTCACAGCAAAGGCCTGGGTTTATTCCTCGGTTTCTTCATATGAGATTTGCAGTGGATAAATTGACACAGGAGCAGATCTTTCTACATTTCTTCAGTGAATAATTTCATCATTGTTTCATATTAATCTACCACTGGCTCATGAATTATGCAATAATCCTGACCAAGCAGCACATATGACATCTTCTGTCTTCAAGTTGGGGATTTCGTCTCTGACCCAGCACTTGGCTAGTTATAGAATAAGAAAGTTTTTTAATAATAAATTTCTGCAAGAGTGTACATGTTGATGCTTTGCAATACTGTCATCTATTAGTGACTATACAAGGAGTTTGGATTGCTAATTGGATTTATTGGACTTGTGTAATTCATAACTACAAGGAATTATAACACAACTGTTAATCTACATACTTGATGAATCACTGTAGCACATGCTGTTCAGTCTCTTATAATCTTCATTAGTTGTTGCTCAGTAATGGTCTTCACTAGGTTACGGTGCTCTCACACATTTTTGCTGACTGACAGCTGGCTTGTAGCTGACCCTCAACTAACTGCTAACAATCTTGTGTCCTTTTTATATAGCCTCATCATATACTGCACAGAAAACATTCCAGTGATCTCTTCTGTTGTTTTGTGACTTGTGATTGAGTCAGTGCCTACAGACAGTTTGCTTGTTTTATGACGTAGGAGCATGTTACTGTTCCATTGCCTAGCAACAAACGATATCTGTTGTTAAACTGTTCAGTCATGTCACAATACTAAGCAGTTGCTTTGGGTAAGCATTTTTTATGAGTTCTCTCCACTTCCCAACCTTCCCTGAGAAGCCTATGGTTGCTGCTGTGGGCTAAGTGTTGTTAAATATATTTACATTGTACAAGTTTGAATAATATTTCATTCATTACAACTTTTCAGACATATCATATGGATGGAAGCGTCTGTGAATTATTCATATAAATATTGTGCACTTCTCCCACCTCTCTCACAGACACAGAAAATGCACAGAACTTTGTATATAAATTACATCCTGGTGCTACAGAAACAATGAAATTAACAAAAATTGCAAATTTTCTGAAGCTGTTTGAGATACCAAATGTTACTTAAAATAGTAGACATTGTTGTAACTGACTACTGTAAATTGAAGTGTGGTATTTGATGTCATACTGTAATGTAAATTGTACAAAATAAATGAGCGTGTGAAGTTATGTTCATATGTTGCAGAAATTTGCAGGCGAAGGCTTGCGTACATTGTGCCTGGCAGTGCGTGACTTGGATGAAGTGTTTTTTAGTGACTGGAAACATAGGCATCAAGAAGCTGCACTTGCTATGGACAGTCGTGATGATAAGTTGGATGCTATCTATGAGGAGATTGAGCGAGACATGACATTAATTGGTGAGTGGGTGGTGCTGAAGAAGGAATCAGGATGTCATATATTGCTGAGTCAAACACATAGGCATAATCGGACCCAGAAGAATGAATTTGTTGGCCTCATCTAATAATTATTTTAAATGTTTGTATTTAGTTTGAAGATATTAACAAATACAGCATAGTTTCCTTGATTTGTATAGACTTTGTGGAAGTTCAAACCTTTCTTGAGACGCAGTGTTTCATCTTTTAAATATGATTTTAATTGAATTTTTCAGGAATGAACATCTGTATTTTCAACCTTTGCTTTCATAGGTATTTTACCTACACCAAGAATGGCAGTTAGATATAGGAGACCAGATTGGTAGACATTTAGACAAAGTATTGACCTGACACTGATACTGTATGCAGTCCTGACAATATAAAGGTTTTATGGAACCAGAAGGTTCATTATTAAATTCAAAATAACCCACCACTGGACCCAGTCCATTTCCTCACACCCTTTTCCCTGAAGAGCTATTTTAAGTGAATAGTCCCATTGCTGTTCATACTGTTGGAATATTCTTGCACAAATAAGAACACAAGACTTTTTTCAGGTGTAACTGCTATTGAAGACAAATTGCAGGATGGAGTGCCTCAAACAATAGCAAACCTTGCTCTGGCTGGAATTAAAATCTGGGTATTAACAGGTGACAAGCAAGGTGAGTAAATCATGAACTGCAGTTTTCACTCTCTCTCAAAAGCACTGTGCTTCATTGTGATATAGTTGTCTCCCCCTGAATATATTGTGTGATAAATAAAAACACTTCTTTTGAAATTTAAAACCAAATTTTAGGTCAGTGATAGAGTAATCTAAATGCTTTTCCAGGTGTCAGAAATATCATCTCCATTGTATTTCACTGCATGAAATGGATACTAATGGTCAAATATTTGAAATCTGACTTACCATATTGACCCATACTTTGTATTTTGATTGGTAAGAGAAAATATTGTAATACAATAGAACAATACATAAAGTGTGTTTTTACTTAATAAATAATTTTTTCGTTAGAATGAAGTTTCGCATAACACCTGAATTGAGTTTGGGGCACCAGAAACTTTACTAGATAATATTTCCTATTGATAACAGTTGTGAAATTCTTACATATTTGCAATTGTATGTTAAAAATAGTGATTATAATGAACTCTGTGATATGTTATGAGCTATATTTGGTTTTATAATCATTTCAGTTTAAAAGACTTTACTCCCTTTGTAGCTGCATATTGGTTAATCTGAGGATAAGTAACATTATATGTCTACTGAATTGGTTCACAGAAACAGCTATTAACATTGGCTATTCCTGTCAACTTCTAACGGATGAGATGGCAGATATCTTCATAGTTGATGGACACACGTATGATGACGTGGAAGCACAACTAGGAAAGTTTCGGGAAGCAGTGCGTAGTGCTGGTTTGGGGCATGGTGGTGCCCCAACAGCAGCTGCTGCATCGGCACCCACGTCTGTCAGCATTGTCACTTTCAGGTGGGACCAGCACAGGTAGCTACAGCTGGGACAGGCATATGCTTGCATGCATGCATGCATCCCCACTCACACTCCTGCATGAACCAGCCAAGCTTCAGCCAGAAATTTCAGAGAAGTAGACCAATGAATGGACCATTTTGTACTTTTGTGTGAATGGATGTTTAATCTTGTAGGCACACCAACTGTGTGGCATAGTGCCTGAAGCTGATGACTCTTGAGAGGGTAGTTCTGAACGTTTGTCAAAAGCTGTGTTATGCAGTGCGGTCACATTTTATGCAAGGATGCATTCCAGAACCTTCCATGATTCAAGACAGGTTTTCTCACAGGAACATGATTCTTGCCGAATTTTTTTGAGGTTCACATTATTTCAAATTTACTTAAAATGCAAACACACTGTGCTTTGTTTGCTAGACATATATTTTCTACATTTAATTCTTTGCGATTTTACATCCATCACTGGCCTGCATATTCATATATTCGCAATAAGGATGTGGGATGTGCAGGTAGGGTTGCAGAGTACGTGGAGCTGCAGGCAAATGTATATATAGATGTAAAGAAGAAGCTGGGAAAGCAAACCACAACATGGATAGTAGGACACACCACAGAAGATAGTACTCTTCATAATCTGACAATTTCAAGTCGAGCTTAATATAGTATAGGGGTGCTCCAGAATTAATTTGCATCGTAGCTTTAGTTTATGCTTAGTGTACACTGGTAGTGTATTGTGGAGTAAATTTGGAAATGGACTGTGTCTACAAAAGACACTTTAACTACCCATTATGTGTTTAGTTTTGTACAATTCATGCAAAAAATTATGAAAAATAATTAGCTAATTTGTAAACTTCATTTGTCAGAATTTATGACTTATCATATTCATGCACTATGCCATTTAGCCTTATGGCCACTTTTGTACTGCATGGAACTGACACTCCTGAAGTTGAGGTTTGGTACTAATAAATAGTTATTGGTGTGTGTTCTGTTGTTGAATATTCCATAATTTATTTTAATGTTTAAGCTGTTTTTCTCATATTTTGTAAATGTGGCTAAGAAGACATGTTATGAATGCCATACATGCTCAGTTACTCGAGAAGTTCCCTACATTTTATGGAACATGAAGGTTCATTATTGGGTTCACAAGAGCCCCCTACTGGACATTGTCCTGAGCCAGATGAATCCAGTCCATATCACCCCATCCTGTATCTCTAAGATCCATTTTAATATTGTCACGTGTTTATGGCTGTGTGACTAATAGTGACAGGTTTTATATTGGATGATTGAATTTATTGACACAGTCTCTCTTAACCCTTTGACGTGGTCATTTAAATTCCGCGGCCGCGGCTCCTGCGGTAATATATTCAGCCGGCCATTTAAATTTTGCTCGAAAATTATTTATTCATCATTGTTCTTAAATTCTATGAGATAGGAACATGAAACTTTCACTAAAATGATCTTAAATGGTGGTTTTATAACCTTACCTTATAATATGGGCGCCCTGTATCTCGGCCATGGAAGCAGGTTGTTTAGTATTTCAGCAGTGAATGGTACGCCTTGAAGGATGAAACTTTCACTAAAAT